GGCACATAACTGACTCTCATTCCTTGTATGAATTTTAAATTTTTCTCTCTTTCCCTTTCCATAGCTGAATTTCAGATTACCGTTCTCTCATTGGTTGCTTGAATCCTTTCTCTCTCTCTCTCTTACCTTCCCTGTCTGAATTTCATAGTCGCTCTCTCTCTCTCTCTCTCATTCTTTACTTGAATTTTAAATCCTTTCTGTTTCTCTCTTACCTTCCCTGTCTGAATGTCATAGTCGCTCTCTCTCTCTCTCTCTCTCTTTCTCTCATTCGATGTATGATTTTCAAATCATTTCTTTTTCTTTCTTACCTCCCCTGTCTGAATCTCTCTCTCTCTCTCTCTCTCTCTCTCTCTCTCTCTCATTCTTTACTTGAATTTCAAATCCTTTCTCTTTCTTTCTTACCTTCCCTGTCTGAATTTCATAGTCACTCTCTCTCTCTCTCTCATTCTTTACTTGAATTTCAAATCCTTTTCTTTCTCTCTTACTTTGCCTGCCTGAATGTCATAGTCGCTCTCTCTCTCTCTCTATCTCTCTCATTCTTTGCTTGACTTTCAAATCCTTTCTCTTTTTTTCTTACCTTCCCTGTCTGAATTTCATAGTCGCACTCTCTCTCTCTCTCTCTCTCTCATTCTTTACTTGGATTTTAAATCCTTTCTCTTTCTCTCTTACCTTCCCTGTCTGAATGCCACTCTCTCTCTCTCTCTCTCTCTCTCTCTCTCTCTCATTCGATGTATGAATTTCAAATGCTTTCTCTTTCTCTCTAACCTTCCCTGTCTGAATTTCATATTCTCACTCTCTTATTCGTTGTGGGAACTTCACATTCTCTGTCTTTCTCTCTCACTTTCCACATCTTCCCTTCTTTCATTCGTTGTATGAATTTTACATTCGTTCTCTTTCTCACTCCCTTTCCATATCTGAATGTCATATTCCCGCTCTCGCTTCTTTGTCTTCATTTACCTCTCTCTTTCTCTCTCCCTCCCTCCCTCTCATAATTTCCCTCTTTAGTTTCAATGATCTTCTGCCTTTCACAATTGATGAATTATCATTGAATACTTTTTCGTGTTTTTGATTCGCTGACTTTTCGAATTCCGAATTTTCCCTCCAACTTTGATTCGTTTTTTTTTATTTCCTTCACTTTTGCTCGTTTTCTTTTTTTTGGTTTTTTTTTCCATTATTCATCTCGTTTTCGTAAAAAAAAAAATTATTCGTTTCACTTTTTTATTTCTCTTTTTTCTCGTCTTTTTTTTCTTTCATTGTTTGGCTTTGAGCTTTCTTCATTATCTTTTTATCTAATAATTGTTTGTCATCTACCATGGAAAGAAAGAAATGAAAAGATATTACCTTTTCTCTTTATTTCTTTTCCTTCCACCCGCATTTTATTTCCAACCAATTGATTTTTGTTCTCTTTTTAATAGTTTTCTTACTTATAATATTTTTCTTACATCATTTTTTTTTTCCTTTTTCTTTATTCCTTTCCATTTTGGTTTTACGTTTTGTTCTCTGTTGATGGTATTTTTTATCTACTTCAATCTTCCAATTTCATTCCCGGTCTGTTTTCACTCTGTTCCTTTTCACTTCTCAACACTTTTTCACCAGACATTGTAAATAGCTTCTAGTGCATCAAAATAATTCGGCGTCAGAAAAATGCTGAGCATGTAAAAGATGAAAAAAAGAGAGATTCCGAATAAAGTAACTCAATATTACAGCCAAAAGGCAGGACATTGAGGAAAAAAAAAGAACCTTTTTTGTAAGAAGTTTATTTGATTTATAAAACGCGACGCTGTGCAGTTACTTGCAAAAGAAAATAAAACCAATGAATTATATTAGAATTCAGTAGACGACTTCTAATATCACGCTTATGTTGATAGCTAGAACACAGCTCTAATACAAAATATCACCAAGATTTGGAATGAACGTAATAACAGCACATACGACTTATTCATCATGAAATTTCAAAAGGTGGAATTGATAAAAACTAAGCATTTCAACAACCTCGGTGTATGGATCCGTTATAACAAATTCAGCATGAGAGATAAAGAAATTGAACATAAAACAGTCTGTGCTATGGGTAGCTTTTTCCAACACAGCATAATGCAAAAACGAAAACATTAACATAAGAACTCAAATTAACGTTTGAAATATCGTGTTCAGATCTAGACTTACATATGAATGTCATGCATGGCATTTAACTCATTCAGTTATGTCTAAATTGTCGCTTACATAAAACCGTTTTCTCAAATTAAAGATGAGAAGTGGGTTCTAGTAAATAGATATGTTTAAGCCGGTAGACGAAATACAATACTGCTTAAAATAAACCGAGCGTTTACACAGATATGTGTATCCACTGAAAATAACGTTTAAAACAAAATATATATATATATAATTCGTCGAGTCTGGAAGAAACCTTAACAGAAAGCACTGGACGGCCGTTTCGCCCTATATTTGGGACTCGTCAGCAGTGCTCATCCACTACCGAGAATTGAAGCTGGGACAGTTACGTTATCAGGCAAACGTCATACCAACTGCGCCTCGGTGACGAAGAGGTAGTGAATTAGACTCGATATAGCGCCGCTCGATCACATATTCCGACTGTGCCCCCACAAGCCACAACTACTATCCACAAGTCGCTCCATCCAGAGCATTAGAAGCCGGTACAAGCAAGGTTTTACAAGTGATATAAATTATTAGGAGGATTTGAAATAATTATATATATATATATATATATATATAATTATTTATTTAAAAATATGATTCCAGCACGCTACATAAGAGTTCTCATGTTTCAAAACAAGAGCCGAAATATAATTATTTGAATTAAATTGAATTAAAGTACTAAGCTCTGTTCCATCTTCAAACGAATTTTTTTTTTTTTTTTTTTTGGAATAACTTATTTCTGAAATTTATGCGTTTTATAAGTATATTCATTATTGAAACCAAAATTTCTATGGTAACGGCTAGAGCGATTGTTTAAAGAAAAGGGGCGTGAGGTGTTAATAATTTGTATCAATATCTCAGTTACATTCACAGATGTCAAGTCAGGGTAAGGTTGGGGTGTCTATATATATATATATATATATATATATATATATATATATATATATATAATAGTAGTAGTAGTAGTAAACCCAAAAAATCCAAAGGGGGGTTGAATAAGACGAAGTCGCGTCTGTTCAAATAAGTCTATACTCATATGAGGTAATTTTGGATTTTTTTGGTTTAATACTATTTATTTGCTTTGTATAATAGATGCATTGCGCTTTTTTGTGGATCAGTTTTAACATTTTATATTACTAAGATCCATTTGCATTATATACCAACGGGTTAATTACCTTTACGACATATATCTATCTATCTATCTATCTATCTATCTATCTATCTATCTATATATATATATATATATATATATATATATATATATAATAATTTTTTCCACATTTCACCTTTCTTAACAAAATTACTGCTCTCACAAACAAATATACACGACAGATTAATAAAATCAAAAGAAAATGGTTGAATACATCAACACAGATATAATGACAATATTCTCCACACGTGACAAATACTGACGTTATTTTCAGTTAACAATATGAAAATAGCATTTCTCTACATTGCAGTTGCTAGGAACATTCTGTTTTTTGTTTTTATTAGTTACATTGTTTAATTAAATTCATTTCGTATTTTGCTTTGATAAAGTCCACGTTGGACGAAACGCGTCAGCAATTACTAGTTTTCCTATTGTCATTTTTATTCACAAATAGAATAAATCCTAACGAACCAGGCAAACCTACCTAGGGTTTCACCTAAACGGGTCTTCAGGTTAAACTGGCGTTAGGATTTTTATATATATATATATATATATATATATATATATATATATATAATTATTTATTTAAAAATATGATTCCTTCGCTACATAAGAGTTCTCATGTTTCAAAACAAGAGCCGAAAACTTCAATATAATTATTTGAATTAAATTGAATTAAAGTACCAATTTTTTGAATAACTAATTCTTGAAATTTACGCGTTTCTTATAAGCATATTTATTATTAAAATTAAAATTACTATGGTAACGGCTAGAGCAATTATTTAAAAAAAAGGGGCGTAAGGGTTAATAATTTGTATCAATATCTCAGTTAGATTTAAAGAGGTCAAGTCAGGGTAAGGTTGGAGTGTCTAAATTTAAAGCGGAAGATCGTCTTGTCTGGTTAACCGTTAAGTGTCTATGGAGATTTATTTATTTATTTTCTTTTCTTTCCTAAAAGGGTTTTGTGTATATAAAACTGTCATAATTAGCTAACATTTATTTTTTGATGACTTCATAAAGTTTGTTTTTTTATGATTGGGTAGGACTTTTAAACTTTTTATTTAGACTATGGAATTTAAAATTTGTATTTATTATTTTATGCTAATTATTCAATGCAAAAATTTGATGATGTCGGCAAAAAACCGTTAATTGAAATTTGATAATGTGTAGTTTTTCATGTACATGAAAAACTATACATTATCACGTTTCTAAATAAAGAAAATTTATATCAAGTTTCTAATTCAATTCTAACTTAATTTATATCAAGCGTTAATTGATTGGCAGTTAGGTCTCATCAATTCACATTTTAATGCTAATAATTCTATGCTAATTGTTTCTTTTCTCGCGTTTCTTGCTTGTGAAACTCTCTCTTTTCTATAAATAGTTTCATGGTAATTGTTCAGATGAATTCTTCGCAATGGTACCTAGATTTTATGAACAAAGGGAGGTTTTGTCCTTCTAATGTGTTCATGTCTTTTATATTTTCTCTTCTTAACGGCTGATATGAGTTCTTCTAACGGACCTGATTCTGGTCTGAAGGTCTTTCGCACTCTGATATTTTTTAAGCGCAGCAAGCCCCTTGGATGGTTCTATAGCATTTCTTATTGGGCTTACATTTTATGAAGAATCAGCAATATTGTTGTTCTCGACCTGGCATCTTGGGTTTAATCACCGCCTCCATTAAGCTACCCTGTGCCTTTACTATAAATAGATCCATGATAATTGTTCGAATCACCTCTTCACTATGACAACTAGATTTTATAGAATGTAAGCACAGTACTAGATTGGCTCATATGTCTCAACAAATTACTAGATGTAACTGTTGGAATTTTTGGGTACCCTGGTGTACTAGTGAGCCAGCCAAAATTTTATAGTTCCCCAATAGAAGGGTTAACCAATCAGAAGGCTCAAAATATACAATGCGACGTGTATAAAGGCGGCCATGTTTTTTTCCCCGAATATGCACTGCCAGCCTTTGATATCGAAGACTGAAGAATTCCGGAACAGCTGTTGGTGGTATTGGCGATATAGTGAGATTCAGTAGAGTGTCTGACTCGTGAGTGTTAATCTTTAAAGTTGTTTCATTGAACAGATTACGTACTGCGCTGTATTCTATATTCATAGACTATGGTGAACATGGTCAACAGTAAGCATTAGTTCTTGTTCAGAACTTTCTTCTGGTTCCATGGTTTCCAGACAACTTTGATCTTCTGAAATTTCAATGCAATGTCAATCGTAATCTACTGTCTTAATGATTACTCTTCTATTGTTATCACTCCTTAATGTTTGTCTTTTTTCTTATTTTTCATGCTCAGTAACCCCTTATGTTTGAGTGGCTTTACTGCGTTGTATGGGGTGATTTATTTTTTTATAAAAGCATTGTTCGTTCTGTATTTTAATAAAATTCTTAACCTGTGAATTTTTTATTGCTTTAAAGCCTTTTTTCATTGTTCTTCGTGAGTTTGTTTTTCGGTATTAATCTCCATGCCATATGTGGAGTATGTGTCATTTAGGTTCGTCACTAGACTACCGAGTTGCTCTCCCCGTCTAAATGGAAATAAAATACGAAGAC